CCTCAACAACTGTATATAAAAGAAAAAAAACACAAAAAATGGAGGAAAAGAAAAAAAATTGATTTATAAAATAATTTAATTCAACAAAAGAACATGTTTTCTCATTTTGGCATATTTTTCTTATTACAACAAAATACTAAACACCCCAAACAATTCTAAATAAAAGAAACACAAAAAATAGAGGAATCGAAAAAGTTGATTTTTTTAAAAAAAAATCATCTAATTCAACAAAGAATATATTTTCTCATTTTGACATTTTTTTTCTTATTACAACAGTATGCTAAACATCCCAAACAATTCCAAATAAAACAAACACAACAAAATGGAGGAAAAGAAAAATGTTTAAATTGTATTGCATCAAAATGGGTTATTATTTTATTATTTATTTAAGAAAATTACAAATTTAGCCTCATATATTATAAAGGAGTTTTTTCACTACAAAACGCGAAAGATAAGTAAACTATAAAATCAGGGTCTGAAAGATTTCTTTTCTCAATTCGGAACCTAGATGTTATAAAACTATCGATATGAAGCTTAAAATTAGCAGCATCAACTTAACCCCATCAACACACTGTTAATTTTAAGTTTTAAAACACCCAAATATTCTACAAAGTACAAAGGTAAAAAAAATTAAGAAAATACAAAAATAAAAAGAAATTGACAATAAAACTTAAACAATAGTAGCCATATAAAAAAAATAAAATAAAAAGGTGATTTTGCCATTTGTTTCATTTAGCCATACCAGGAACAATCAGCCCTGTTCGGGCCCTTCGGGGCCGTCGCATTTTTTAGTTTTTCTTTTCTTTTCTTTTTTTCTATTAAAATCTGGATCTTTTTTTTTTCTTTTAAACTCTCAATTTAACGGTGTTATGTATTCTGTTAATTTTAAGACTAATATTGATAGTTTTACAAGATTTAGGTCCCGAATTGGTAAAAAAATCTTTTAGGCCCTGATTTGATAGTTAACCTATTTTTCAGGTCTTGTATTGAAAAAACTCCATTATAAATCATACTTTTTTTTGGTCACATTTGAATTGTTGCTTTGAATTTTGCCTTTATGTTTGCAATAAGATTACAAAAATATAATTTTCTCAACAAAAATGTGCCTTCAAATTTGTAAAAATATTGAAATTCCGCTCTTTATGTATTCTTCGAGATATTTTTACAAACATAAAGAACGAAAATCAAAACAATAGTTCAAATAGGACGAAGTGGAACATATAAGATTAAAATTGAAATTTTATTTCTCCACACAAAAACACGCCACCGATGAAAAAACACTTTGCTAACAATACACATACACAAATAGAAAAAACAAACTCTCAAAAACCATGTAACCTCTAATTTCAGAAACAAAAGCCAATAAAGACGGTAAAAAAAATAAAATCAATTCAGGGCTGTTGGTACAATAAAAGCAAGCAGGCAAAGCAATGTCAGTTGTACCTCAGCGGGCCCCAGTTAGGAGAGCTGATGATGCCGTTTGCGGCACACCTAGCCGACAAAGGTTGGCCCACCACCCACCTTTCACCAAACCTCTCTTTTTCCTCTGTTTTTCCCCTAAATCGAAACGAAAACAAGCATAAAAGCATGGCAAAAAAGAGCCCATCCAATTCCTCCTCCTTTTTTCCAGCTGAAAATTGACTAAAAATTGAATCTTTTTTTTATGCGAGAGACGCTTCATCTGGCCTGCGGCGGCGTAATTTCCGGCGGGTTGATGTCGAATTTGACGAGGGAGGATAACGGTATGGTGATTTCGTCCGAGGATTCGTCTTCGTACCCGGATGAGCTGGAGTTGGGTCTTGGGTTGGGCCTCGGCGGAAGAAGGGTTAGTATCAATCCGCCGGAGCCGGCGGCCGGTGGCGGTGGTGGGTGGGATCAGTACGCGAGGATTTTGACAGCGAAGGATTTTCCTCCTCCGGCGGGCTCTGCTAAAACTGCGTCCTCGTCCTCATCGACTTCCTCCTCGTCCGTGACGAAAGCTAATGTTAATAATAATGGCGCTTGTGGCACGAAAAGAACTGCCGAATCGCCTTCTTCGCCTCCGGGCCGTCCGGCAATTAGGTATCGTGGCCTTTTTGGTTTCACCTCATTTGGTCCATGTGATTATAAATATTGTGTGTATTCAAATTTTATTGCCATGTTCGGTTGTCTTGCCTGAGTTTGTGTAACTATTGGTGTTGGTGGGATCATTGGGATTCGATTATCTTGTTCATATTAGATGTTTCAGTTTTGCCAAATTATGCTTTCGTGTAGTTATGACCTATGATCCGAACCTACTGGTGAAAAAACCCGGGTTGAGTTATATGCTCTTTCTTTCTTACAGAAACCTTGTTGAGTGGTTGTGAATTTGATATGAGGTGAGCTTGGATTTTTTTCCCTTTGTATTCCTTTTGTTTTCGTGCTTTGATTCTTCTCCTTATTCTTTTTTTTTTAATCTTTTAACTTTGAAGCATGTATTTATAGTTACATTCTTGCAAGAAAAGAAATCGCAATAACAAGATATGCAGAGAACCTTCAACTTTTTCCTTTTCGATATTGATAATAGCAAAATGATTTTCCTGAATCTTTCAACTGAAAGAACCCATGTGGATAAACTTAGAGCATGTTGAGTATATTTTAGTCACATAGTCCAAGAACATGGGATTTTCTATCACGTCAAGGCAATCCAAATTCTTAAATAACTAGTCAATGAAACAACTCTTATAGTGTAAGCAATGCATATCATTGGAGGATTACTAGTAGTTGTATCTGTCATCACGATATTTCTTCATATGTTAAACCTACTTAAACTATGATCGATACTTCATGATGATCTCAATCTCTAGGGGAATTAAACTGTTTTTTTCATTTTTTCTTAATGTAATTTACTTGAAGCAGTCAGGTAGTTGGATGGCCTCCTGTCAGAACCTACCGATTGAACAGCTTAGCCAACCAATCAAAATCACCGGTTACTGAGGACTTCTTCTCGGCTGCTGATAAATGTACCAGCAAAAATCCATTATCAGACAAGGCTAATCAAGGAGGCACCACAAACTATAACAATGAAAAGGAAAAGGGACCTCGTAAAAAATCTTTGTTTGTGAAGGTGAACATGGACGGTATCGCAATCGGTAGAAAGCTTGATCTGAGTGCTCATAATAGCTATGAGACTTTAGCTCGTGCGCTCGATGACATGTTTAAACCCCGTGCAGCTTTTGGGGCAAGACGTAAATTTTTCTGCTCTCGTATTTGCTCTTGATGAAGTACTAATATTTTCAGTCATTCCTATCCTTGTTGGTTTATGAAAAGCTTAGGATGATATTGAGTTTGTTAATCCATTGTTTGGTGATCTTGTTACCGAGCCTTCCCATAGTTTCTGATGATTTTGCAAAATATGGAACTTTTCAATGAAAAAATAAGGGAGATTGCATGTATCACCCATGATTTTAGTGTAATTAACAAAAAAGAGAGTGGGAGAGAGAGTAAAAAAAACACATCTTTCAGAATTATAAGTTGCTGCTATGTTGTGAAGAGATTAATAATATTAGGAATGTGGAAAGTATAGTGATTACTATAAATGTAACATAACTTTATCTGAGAATGAAACTCTTTTCAAAGGTCTTAGTTAGTTTTTTTCGGTAGAATATCTGATTGGTGACTTGATGATGTTACTATTATAGGATTGAATGTTGAAGAGCAAGTTTTTTCTGGCACAAGACAACCTTTGCAGTTGCTGGATAGTTCATCTGACTTTGTGCTCACATATGAAGATAAAGATGGAGACTGGATGCTTGTTGGTGATGTTCCCTGGGAGTAAGTCTGTTGAATGTTTTTTTTTTTTTTTATCTACTTCTTTCACAATTACATGTCCCTTTAATCAGTATAATAGATTAATATCACAATCGTGCTAAAGAGCCAATCAGATTTGACTGCTGCTGATTACGAATTCTCTTTAAGTTACGAACTGTAGTTTGATTATTTATTTATTATGTGTCAGGATGTTTTTAAACTCGGTGAGGAGACTACGAATCATGAGGACGACGGAGGTTAATGGACTTGGTACGCATGTTTCTGCTTTTATGAATAACCTCCTGAATAAAAGTATTTGGTAAACAACAGAACTCCCGAATTTGTAATAATTTGAAATTTAAGCGGGAAGTTTTCATAATTAGATAAACACCAACTATAATTTTTTTATTATTATTATTCAACTTTAACACATTATTTTGTTGAGCTGTTGCTACTTTCCTTTTTATGGTTTCAGCTCCAGGATCCAACAGAAGGAGCAGGAAGCCAATAACAGCTCCAATATAGAATTCATGTTCATGCTTGAAGAAACTTCTTCCTACAATCACAAAACGATAAATAATAGACGCCATATATCTTCTGCAAAGAATATTATTTAAGCAAATACCAATTTCTGGTACTGTTTGCTTGAATCTGCTTTGTTTTTGGTCGTTTTTCACATTTTATCACAAATACTACAATTCAAAACAATATCCTGTCTGAGGGAGTGTGCTTACATCTGGACGATGCAAATGCA